AATAAAATGGGAATAGTGTTCTAGAGATGACATGAGGAACAATAAACAGCGATTACTAATGCAAATACAGAGGATTATGAAGAACCTTTTCACGTACATATGTGGTATACTGCCAGACTGTAAACGGTTTTCTGAAATTTGCCTTTGGGCACTACATGAGCCTCTTTATCACTTCTTTTTCTCAATGGTTCACATGAATTGTCTTTATATTCTTTCCGTATATTTTGTGCAATTACATCATTCAGCTATCTTAGGAAAGTGTAGCAATGCGCCTGAGCAGCAGGTTATGCTCAGCTTTGCTTCATTTTCACAATCCAACACTATGGCCAGCCGAATTGAAAGCAGGTGTGCTTGCTGGTTGCCGAGTTATCCCGAACTTTGTGACTGAAGAGGAAGAAGCTGAGTTGCTGCGCGAAGTGGAACCACATATGAAACGATTACGATATGAGAAAAATCATTGGGATGATGTAAGTTAAGATATTACCCTTTTAATTTAGTATTTTTTGTTTACTACTCATTTTTTTATTTTGATTATTTTCAATATATTTTTCCCACTTTTCTGTACTAGGCACGCGCCATACTACATGCGCTTGATCTACCTAATCCGATCCTTCCCCTTCGTTATCGAAGAGATCAATAAACTGACCATAGCGAAGTGGATCAAGTGGATCAAGCCAATCAAATGTGGCTCGTACCTTAGCAGAGGCTGGCTTTTGGTATACTAGAGAAGTACAAAGCGTTGGAGTTCCGTGATGGTTACCGTAATTTGGTCAAACTGAACATTCTCTTGAAGACTGCCAGAGTGTTCGGTAATCATATTATTTGAGTGTATTCAGTTTCCACCAAATTAGGGAAGTCCATCTTCTCCGCTGTGATGACCTCAAATTATCTCTCTTAGATAGCCAGTTCTCGGTGAGAAAAAAAATTTATGGATATGATCGAAATTTTGACCCCGACTCATTTATCCAAATGACTTAGTCATAATATTATTTGCAGGCAATCCATTTGTATCGTGAACGTGAACAACGCAGGTGGTCGCCAGCTAATGAGAAGATCATTCAGCGTATTCGGTATGTGTTGCAACATTTATATTTCATCACCTTGTTCCTGTATATCACCAAATTGAATTTCTCACTCTACAGTTTAGGGAAATACATCATCGGCCCTCTGATGATCGACCGCTGAAATTATCAGAGAAGTTCGTTTGACACATACTTGACATGTCTTTGCGCAATCTCAAAAAACCTTTATGCTTATGCGCAAACCTTGTGACGATTTTATAGGACCTTATAGGATAGCTATGAACTTTATGTACTTGCTGGGTTCCCATAAATCATCTTAGATGGTCATTAGGCGAGAACTAGTGCGCTTATATATTACTAGAATTGGTGACTGGTTGGGGATAATAATATGCTTTGACTGGAAGTAGCAAATAGCTGTCAGTTCCGAGCTTGGATACCCCATGACCAAATTAATACTTGTATCTGCTGTCTGAAAGGGAGTAGAGCGCGGCCATAGAGGTGCTGCTTTTTTTATCAGGTGAGCAATTTCTTTTATGTTCTCCTTTTATTAGTTGAACAATTTTTTCTATCTGTTAGATCTTCTTGAGTTTTGAGAGCGTGACTAGTTCTATAGATAAACATATTCTACAGTGCTACGTCATTTCCACCTGATGCTGAACATTTGACTTCTGTGCATATCCTCGACCTTCACAAGGATGGTCTCATCAAGCCACATATCGATGCTATTCGGGTAATTTGGTCGCACTAGTTTATGTTATAGTCACTTTATTTGTGTATTGCAGTACTGCGGTGATGTAATCTCAGGCCTTTGCCTTTTATCGGATGCTGTCATGCGATTACGACATAAAGACAGAAAAGATGAGCTTATCGTAGACATGTTGGCTCCTCGACGAGGGCTTTATCGGATGGGGTAAATCATGTTCCTCAGGCTTTGACCATACATTACCAGTGTTACTCGTGTTA